GCTTGTAGTATGTATGCACGAGTGGGCATGCTTACAGTATTTATTATCTTCTTGCGTATGCTAGTCTGTGTATGTACCTCTACTCATGTTTTTATGTTTATGTGCTACAAGGAAGAACAGTTCGCCCCCCATCAACCAGGGCGGTGCTACTGATTGAAGTGTCTTAAGACCATTCCCAAAGGAGGAATATATTAACATGTTCTTATGCACAGTAGAATAGTAAATGGGTTGATTTATCAATGTCATGCTCATACGTTGCAGAACAACATTGGGGGAACTGCTGCTTTTTCTTTCCTCATCCTTACTATCGTCATTTTCCTCTACTTCTTTTGTATGTTTGTCACTCTCTTGTAACCCGCTATTTCCGGGGTGCCTTGATAGTCGAAGCAGACTTTGTACTGTTGAAGCTAGAGAAATGAGCAGAGTAAATCTGATTCCCTGTAAGGACTTCTCTGTTGACATCCACCCCTTGGCGCTCATATGACCTTATGCAGTTGTGAGCGCTGTAAAACCTTAGGCTACCAAAACTAAAAAGTTCATCCATCAATGTCTGACGATGACCAGTACATATCTGCAGAGGAGGATGTTTCTAGAGAGAAACAGAAGAAATAAGGATTAGGATGACTTGTGACTTCTGCTATTACCCATGAGACCAATTCTGGCAGAGGAGAGTTTGACACATTTTGAGCGTTTTAAAACCTCCATCTCTACTCATGGATGTAGGCAGCTTACAAACACAGATATTTTATCCTTTGTCATATTTCTGGCCCAGTTTTAAGTTACCCCGGATGAGGTTATTGGTCCTTATTCTAGGCTAGTCCTAATCCCGTCTATTTCTGTCGCCCTCTGCTGATGAATGACAGACCCTGAGCTTGCGTGCTCTGATGATTATACGTACTCTCTCTCCCGCAGGATCTGAAGCCCAACAATATTGGTGTCAACCAAAACGTGGAACTGAAGGTGGGTGTATGTGTGGTGGGTGTTGTTGTTGTTGTTGTTGTTGTTGTTGTTGTTGTTGTTGTTGTTGTTGTTGTTAGTGTTGTTGGTATTGTTGAAGAAAATTGGGGATTATTTATATTCACTGATGGAAATGGGAGGGATGGGGATTATGATGTTATGATACTGATAATCTTGATTTATGATTGTTGCTGTTATTGCTAGCGGTGGTAGAAGTGTTGTTCAGATGGTGTTGTGATGATTTAATGATGATGATGGTGATATGTTGTTGGTGGTGGTGGTGATGATGATGATGATGTTACTATAGCTTGTGGTCATTAGATATTACATTATTTTTTTTATTTTCCTGATGAAGCCCTTTATCGGGCGAAACGTTGAACCCTAATAACATTTGGAAATTCTACCAGTCTCAACCCTTTTTTATTCCTTGCTATTTACAATAATGATGAATATGATGATGAATATGATGATGATAATGATGATGATAATGATGATGATGATGATGATGATGATGGTGCTATCCTTGTGGTGGTGGTTGTCGTGATGATGATGATAATGATGATGATGATTATGATAATTTTAATTTTATGTCACTACAACTGTTGTGGTTACTTTTGCTATTGTTTTCTATAATGACAACAACAACAACAACAACAACAACACAAAGTTTACCAACAATCACTCACCGTATTTTCTCCCACCCCGTCCCCACCCCTGTCAGATCCTGGACTTTGGCCTGGCCAGATCTAACGCCCAGGAGATGACCGGCTACGTTGTGTGCCGCTGGTACCGCGCCCCCGAGATCATCCTCAGCTGGATGCACTACAACGAGAAAGGTATGCATCTCCTGGACATGCTTTTGGAATGCTCTTAGCTCAAAAGGCCAACTTTTATAGGAGAGTGGAAAAACTATTTAATTCTTTTAAATCTACTTATTTGAGCCCAATCCTCAAAAATAGAAACCTTTCAATGACTACCAGAATTTCTCGAATGCTATGTGTCTGTGAATGCTGGACAATCGCTAAAGACAGTGAAAATAAAATAGAAGAAACAGAAATGTGGTTTCTTAGCACTCTGCTGAGAATATCGTGGAAGGAAAAGAACATTTTCATGTGAATCTTGGTGAAAAATGTTGATTAAAGGCATAAAGTATGCAGTTTTTCAGTTTTCAAGGACTTTGAAGCTATTGAAATTACCAACTTTGGCGGCCATTTTCTCACTAATTTTACCACTGAAACCAGGCTGCCCCTCTTACTTCAATCTCAAATTTCTCGACTTCTATTCAAGATAGATAGGTATTTTTTTCCTTGAAAGCAAGGCAAATGAATAAGCTTTTATATTATACCAGTAACTTGAAATGCCAAAAAATTGATGAGCGCCTGATTCCACCGTGTCGTGACACATATTTCATAATGGCGTGTTTCAAGACATCCACCCATTTAAGACAATCACTTGTCTCCTCAACAATGTTTGGCCCTCTTGGAAAATGTTCACTGTATACAAGAACTGGACATAATGATGAAGGGTTCTCTCTCTTATTTCTCTTCTCTTTGAGTTGTGACATATTGATAATGATTTCTCTCTGTTGTTTCTGAGTTGTGACATATTGATAATGATTTCTCTCTGTTGTTTTTGAGTTGTGACATATTGATAATGATTTCTCTCTCTTGCTTCTGAGTTGTGACATATTGATGACTGTTTGTCTCTTTTGTTTTTGAGTTGTGACATATTGATAATGATTTCTCTCTGTTGTTTCTGTCGTTTCAATTGTGACATATTGATGATGTTTTCTTTTTGTTGTTTCTCATGTTTCTGAGTTGTGACATATTGATGAACGTTTCTCTCTATTGTTTCTGAGTTGTGACATATTGATGAACGTTTCTCTCTATTGTTTCTGAGTTGTGACATATTGATGAACGTTTCTCTCTATTGTTTC